CCCCCCGCCGATCCGGCACTTCCATTTCCCGCCATGTCGAAACCTTAATGACGGACCGCTTCACTCCACGGGCGATACCTTCTTCCTTGTCACGCAAGACGACCATATCGAGGACACTTACGCTCCCGTTTCATCTTCTGTACCGTCCTCCTTCCGATCGCCTTCGAAAGGTCCCGTCCCCATCCAGTCCACTCTCGCCTCGACGTCGGGGTCCGCCAGACCAGCGTTGCAGTTGTACCGCACTCCGCACGAAGCCCACTCCGGGATGTAGTCAGGGAAAGCGCCCAGCGTCAACGGTGGCTTCTGCAGGCGACTCAAGACCACATTCGTCGAGTGCATCACATGGCGGTGCCAGTTGAAGGACGATGAACACACCGCCACGAGAGTAGGCTTCGCCACTAGCTGCACGTAGTAAGATGCCTCCTCGTAGGAGCGCGCATCGTCGCCTCCCATGCGCATGACCCACATGCACGCGGCGAGAAGCAGGCGGAAAGCATCCCCGATTCTGCTCAGTCTCAGGTGTGAGAATCTACCGCCGTCCCACCACTGCCCGGCCCGGAGTGCGTCGTGGAAGCATGATGCAAGATGCATCACAGTCGCCTCCTGGTGCGTGGCAATGTCATCGTCCTCTGGCCTGTTCTCGATATACGCCCCGGCGAACCACACTGGGATGTCCATCTTCAAAGCGACCGTGTGGTAAACTACGGCGGGCGGTACTATCCTCGACCACTCCAAGCTCTGCGAAACCGCTCTCGCCAGGTCGATGGGGTAATCTGTAGCGACGTAGGACTCCGCGTGGGCGAAACCATCGGACCTTGAAGGCGACATGAATATCCAGTCGTGGATGACGCGCATCGCCACGTTCTCCGTTCGTCTTGCCCCTCTGAGAGTTGGCTCTCGTTGCGCGCCATCTTCGATCCGCATGAGCGGGACTTCGGGGGGCGGCATCATGAGGCCTTGCGGAGCGCTGGCGCCTGCATCCCCATTGACGATCGCGCAGAAGTAGTCCGCGCAGGAATACACCGCGTCCACGATCATCCGTCCGGGGCCGGTTGCCCAGAACGCTTTGCCGTCTACCCACAACTTCGATTTTGCCTCCAACTCCTCTTGGCGGGACCTTTTCTTCCTCGCGCTCAGAGGCTGGTCGTACTCTTCTTCCCCACGCGGACTCTCCTCCCTCCTCTCCTATTTTCTCCCCGCCTCTACTACCCTCCGAACTTCTCGCCTTTCTCCAGTACCGAGGGCGACGGCATGGCCAGCGGCGCTCGCTGCTAGCGCGGATTGATGCACAACCCTCGGCGAAGCGGCGACGATCGTCGGGTTCGACGCCTCCACGTGGCGCGATGGAGACTAACCGACCGGAGCTTTATCGCCGCGCTCGGACACAGATGCGATGGTAGATGCAGAACCCACGGCCCTCTGCGGCGAAATGTCACCGGACAGAACTCCTTGCGCACGAGTTGTCCCGCCACCGCCACCGCGCGTGGACGTGAGGACGCCAAGGTTGGTGAGCGCAAGCATACGCTGCCTGCTCACACCGTCTCGCCCGAACCCGAGCGCAGGCGTCCCTGCAAAAGTGATGTCCATAGGCGTCACCTCCTCTCCCCCGTCACCCCCCATCTCGCCTTCCGACCCGTCTCCCGCGTGGTTCTTCGACTTTGGGACGTGGCCCCTTCCTGTTTGCCCTGCACCTGCTTCGCCGGAACCACCGTGTGGACGTTTCACCTTCTGCTGGACACGTGGCGCCATTCGCTGACGGTCGGATGCGCACGCCCCGTGAACGAAAACAGACTGCCACAGTGCTTGAGAGGAAGTTGCCAGGGATCGTCTTGCGCGGGCGATGTTGAGCTTCCCTCGCAGCACAACTGAAACCCCACGCGTGGCCTTGTGTGGAGTCGAGAACCAAAAGACATGGACAAGATAGCGCTCGCGCGGACCTTTATAGTGCTCGCAGTGACATTTCCCCTCCCTCGGCGCACGGATCCCGCCCAGACGGCCTCCATCACACCCCTCCACGCGACGACAGAGACGATAACCCATTCCGCATGCGGGCAGACCACCCCAAATACCAAGGGATAGTGCGGTCCACAGAATGGACGGCCCTGCCTTGGAGGGCCAGCGACTCAACATTTCTCAGCGCGCGAGGGTAGACGGTCATCGCGCACACCATCCCCCGCCTTGTTTCCTGGATTTCTGTCATTGTCGGAGGAGCGGCACCACATTTCGCCACAGGCCAGTTCGCGGGCGAATCCACCACAATGGCTCAACAAACCTCACGCCACCGGCGTCATGATCTGTCCCTTATCGCTCTGGCAATCTCCATCAACGTCGTGCACATCATCCTGTTCGCCTCATCGGACGCCGTGTAATGCCTCTCCAGTATGTCACACTGTCGCTTCTGGGCTTCAACCTCCCGGTAACTGGCATTTCGTTAAAACTGACATTTTTTTCTAAATTCACGAAATTAAGCGTTTAAAAAAACAACATTTTTTAGTGTTTTTACGTCCCCATGACGTTGGATGATCAGATCATCAGGTGTCGTGGCGACTCCCGATGATCTGACCATCGGATGTATATTAACGGTACTTTACGTTGTGGTACATCAGATGGACAAAGTGAGATAACCACTTTCTCACCCGATGAGCAATAAAATTTTGACTAAGTCCACTTTCGTGAATTTAGAAAAAAATGTCAGTTTTAACAAAATGTTAGTTCGGTCCAGGATGTCACACTGCCGCTCCAGGATGCTACACTGCCATTTGCTCGCACCCTCTACCGTGTCTGCCATCAATGCACCGTGTTTGTCCATGACTTCGGCGATGGCGTCAAAGGTCTGCTGCCGCATGTTCTTCCTCTTCGCTGGATTGCCCGTGCTCCCTGCACTGAACCCCGACTCCCGCGCTGAACCCACATCTTCGTCGACACCATCACCCCCCTCTCCACCAGCAGAGGACTCTCCACCAACGGCCGCCTGACGGTGACCATCCATTGCTGGCGGCACTCCTCCGCGGGCGCTCGTGTCTGCCACGTTGTCCGGGTAGATGGTCTTGTTATTTTTCGACATGTTGTCGATCTCATTGAAGACTCGCTCATCCATTCGGAAGTTGAAGCCCTCGTCCGCTCTCGTTGCAGGAGTTAGTGTGAAGAAGTTCTTCCCACCGGACATGTTCTGGTAACGCTGCACCTTCTTGTACTGCTGGAAGACGTTATCCCACTTCTTTCCGATGTCGTCCGTTGCCCTGTTCACTCCGACCTCCGCCAGCCGCTTTTGTAGGTCCAGCAGCTTCCACTCCCTGTTGCACATGCGGCTGTAGTTGTGCGGCATTCCCTCGAAATGAGCTTGCTGATCCCGCTTCGCTCGAGCGAGCTTCAGCATCTCCTCCACACTCCAAGCTGGGTGCTTGCCACCCTTGTCGCCCACAGGAGCCTTCGATCCTCGGCCACCACACGACTCGCCCCTCTGCTGACGTCTGCGTCCTCCCCTCCGCCCACCACGCGCAGCCACGGGTCGGATCTCCAGCCCCTCACCGTCTTCCGCGTCGTCTTCGTAATGGGAATCCGGAGACTCGTCCCCACTCGCCCGACGGTTGTCGTCCGCATCCACGTCGCTCCCCACACGCAGCCTGGACACACCGGTGGTTATGTTCTCCGTGGCAGCACGCCGCATCTGTAGGCTGCAGTTCTCCCACGCCTGCCTCTCGATGTCTTCCGGTGGAGTCCCATCATTGATTGCAGCACTTGCGGTCGCCCTCTGCCGCATTGCACGTGAAGACACCGAGGGGCGGGTGGGTGTCACTGCCCTTGACGACTCGCCAACTGGCCCGGCGCCCATGGAACTCGAGACCGGTGGACGACACCCATTCGTCGGCCCACCGACACGGGACGATCCTCCTCCGAACGTCAGCGCTCCCACCACCCCCCCGCCGTGGATCGGACCACTTGCACCACTCCCGCTGCACAATCCGAAATCCAAGTCCACAAGCTCCGTGGCGGCGTTGTCGACACCCTCCTCCAGCAATGCGGTGAACGACTCGCACGTGGTCCCTGCTTCGCTCTGCTGGCGCTGCCTGCTCGTCCACTCCTGCGTAGATCCACTCCCCAGAGGAAGTGTGTGCGACAGATCCTTAACCCAGGCGTCCTCCGGATCCGGCGGCAACGGCTGCTCGTGCGGTGGAAGATGACTGTACAAGGAGGGGTCATATGCGGCGTGTCGATGGCCGGACAGGGGCCAATCAGGAATGGAGAAATCCATCACACGTCTTTGCTGTCCGACTGAGCTGTCCCGTCTGTCCATCGCTGTCTTCCTGTCCACTTGTCGTCTCTGTCTACGCCCAGGAGGCCGCGGCACGACGAAGGCACGCAAAAAGACGAGAAGAAGCAGCAGAAGAGTTGCTAGTAACAGGAGCGGTAGCCGCCGGAAAATGTCTGCCATGAAACGCACCACGTGTAGATGACCACCGAACGGACAACCCTCACGCGCACACGCGAATGGCAGCAATAGATGGGGCTGCTTTTATCACCTCGTTAAGTAGGCTTCCGCGAGTGCGAAGTTTTTCCCAAAAAAAAATCAGTTGGAATAAACCCACGGCCCTTACGGTCGACAACAGGGCCCTGGCAATCGACCTTGGCATTAAGACTACTGCTAACACTGAGTCTGAGCGCTACTTGGGAGTCCTGGTCTCCTTTAGCGACTGCAACCGGGAACAAAACACTGTTGTTGGAAACAGAATAAGAACAGCTTGTACAAAATATTCCAAACATTGTTTCTCTTCCCTATTTGGAAGAGCACTCATATCTAGCTGTGCAGTACTATCTACCTGCTGGTAGTCCGGGTTCAGTGAAACTCGTTCAACGGCTTCTGACACGTTATGTATGGGAAAGGGGCTCAACCGTCCCTTCCTGTGTAAGCGAGTTGGCATGGTGGAAAATCACAGAAAAAAAAACACAAGGGGGTATGAGGCAACCCTTGTAGGTGCCGGCGCTGCGCTACCGAGGGAGCATCGCCGACGCCAAGCAAGCTATGGAGGAACGCACGCGGCGAGCGGGCGAAGTGCTAGTGTACCGATGCGTGTGCCAGGTGGAGCGTTGCTAGCGGGCGGTGCGCTGCCAGGTGGAGTGCCGCTAGCTGCGCTGCCAGGTGGAATGCTGCTAGTGGGCGGTGCGCTGCCGGGTGGAGCAGCGCTAGTGCGCGGCTGCGGAAAATGAGGGAGGTGACATCACAGAGACACAGACGTTGAGCGTTGTTACTCTACAACGGGGATGGTGGCGTCTCTAGCTGACAGAGAGGAGGGAGAGGCGATGGTCTTCTGTTCTGTTTTGTGCTGATCTCCTGGCGTCACAAGTTGGCGCAGGTAGAGAACGGGGGTTGGTGCTTCTGCTTCGTGGCGTGAACCTTCAGGCGTTGGAAACCTCAGTGTGAGTGAGGATACTTTATTTCATGGGGTGGGACGTTCTCTTCGATTCTGTTCAGCTTTCACTTTCAGTGTCCTGGTGGATTTGTTGTCGGCCTTCAATCGTACTGCGTTGCCAACGACGGTAATCTTCATCATCATCATCATCGATATTTTTCATAATGTGGGAATCCGATAACGACGTTAATCATCATCATCATCATCAGTAGCAGCAGTATCAGCATTACTGACATCACCATCATCATTATGAGCATCTTCATTGGTGCGTCATCATCATCATCATCATCATCATCATCATCATCATCATCATCATCATCATCATCATCATCATTATCATTATGACCATCTTCATTGGTGCGTCATCATCATCTTCATCATCATCATATCATCATCATCATCATCATCATCATCATCATCATCATCATCATCATCATCATCATCATTATCATCATCATCATCATCATCTTCATCATCATCATCATCATCATCATCTTCATCATTATCAGCATTACTGACATCATCATCATCATCATCATCAT